CCGAGCTTCCTTCTCTTTCTGTAACGCCTTCGACAAGGCGCTCCGATTGGTCCGGGCCTTCTTTAGGGCCTCCTCGGTTTTCTTCAGTTCGGCGGATAGCTCTTCCAACTCCTTAAATCGCTGGTCGGCGACCTTCTTTAGCCGTATGGCCTCCGTGGCCAATAACGCCTGGCCATGAAGGGCCGCCCCGACCCGTGATGCCTGCAAACATAGACATGTTAGTCCGATCGAAGATCCTTTGTGTAAAAATGAAGGAGGGAAAATTCTTACCTCGGCCAGCTCGCGACCGAGCCGTTCTGCTAGCTGGGTCGGGCTCAGCTTGGTCAAGTCTATCTCGACCGGCGTCAGATTGCCGATCTGAGATAGCACGGAGGCATCAGCCATGACAGACCCGACCGCTGGGGTCGGGCTCTTCTCGGTCCTCTGCCTCTTGCTCCCGGCCGCGTCCTCGGCCGGTCTCTCCGTCACTTGGCCCTTTAGCCTGCTGGTCACGCGGGTGACCAGGGTGTCTGCACCGTCCAGGACTCCGCCCTCATCGGTGATGATCGGGATGGGGCACAAGGGTCGGCCGACCGGGACGGAATCCCCTCCCGAAGACCCGGCAGTCGTCTTCTTCTTCCCCAAGGTTATCTTTGTCCGGGGAGGAGATTTCGGAGCTCCGCTGTTGAAGCGTTTTGGCGCCATGTCTGCAAAAAAAGAAGCAACTGTGTTAGGTCGGGAGTAAGTTTGTTGTTCGGGGAGTCGTGAGCGGGGAAGTTAGTCAAGGTTAAACCTGTCTTCTCCCGTTTACCCCGAGCAGGAGGACCTGCTACTACCACGCCCATCGGCACGGGCTTGTATTTCTCCTTCAGGCCGTATATCGGGTCGGGTAACCGGGCAACGGCCAATTTCTCTGCTGATTGGAAGATCTTGTACTCGTGGATCTCGCTTGAGATCCGGGCTTCAGCTTCCCGAAGAGCCGGAGTCTCGACCGGCGTACCTTGCTTCCTAAAGCGAGTACTCCAAACTCTGTTGGTCGGGAGGATCCAGGGGTCATACTTGACCGAGAAAATCCGCCTCTTCCACCCTTTGTTGTTCCCGGGCAAGCCTGAAATCGAGCATTTTCCCCCCCCGGGACTGCACCATCAAGAATCCCCCTCCGTAGTTGCCCGAGAGGACCTTCACCTGATAGATGTGGTTGAAGAGCTCCATCGTGCAGTGTACCCCGTGCCGAGCACAAATCTGCGGGAAGCACGCTATGATGCGATGCGAGTTCGGGCAGATTTGGGCTGGCATGACCTGGTAATAACCCAGGAAAGCGGTCAAGATGCCCGTGAATGGGAAGACGACCGGGGCCATTAGGGAGTCGTAGTGCATCCCGATCCATTTGCCCCGGTGGCGGTCGATAATATTTCCGAGCTGCCGACTTGTGTCGAATTCCACTCGACCGCCTAGTCTTTCCGCGATCCGTGCAGCTTCCCCGTGCGTCAGTTCACTCATCTGTTGGGCGACGCTCTCACTGTTCAAGTAGACGAACCCGTCATCCTTGCTGGTCCCCGGTTCGTTTACCTCTTCCTCGACCGAATCATTCCCGCCCGAGGGGTCGTCTCCTTGAGGAACGGTTTCCGGGTGATCCCCTATCACCCCGGTAGGTGTCTCTCTTGCGACCCCACTTTCGCGGCCTGAATTTCCCGAGCTGCTCAAGCCCGATCCCGAAGATCCGCTTGTGCTCGAGGATCCTTGCTGCTCGGGGGCTCGCTCGGGAGCCTTGCCCGGTCGTTGAACGATTTCAGGAGAATCGGGCATGATCTCCACCTCCTCGTTGCTAATTTGCTCGAAGCCGTGGTCGTAGTCCGCGACCGAGACGTTTTGGCTATCCGAGTCCGACATATGGTTCTACCTAAAGGCCGGTCGGGGTTAGTACAGGGTTCGGGAAGTTAGCTCGAAGTTAGTTCTATCCTACTTCTCTGCTAAGTTAAGAATGAAGGAAAAGATAAGGGGCTAGGAGCTTACCGATTGATGATACTTTGAAGAAAATCTGAAGTTCGCTTTGCTCGATCAGATCGCTGATCTGCTGCTCGGGACTCTCTGAGGGTACCGATTGCTTCAGTGGATTGAGGAAAGTTCAAATGAAGGCCTCAAGGGCCTATTTATAGGGGAGCGTTTAGGCGGGAAAACAGGTCCACTTGCGTGACGCGACCCGCACTGATTCCGAGGCGACCGTTACGGTCGCCAAGGCCGGCAGTGGCCGACACGTGGCGGAGAAGGAATGACAGCTGGCCGGTCGGTTTGGTGACCAACGTTTGGGCTTTTCCATCCCGTCCCATTTTTTCCCGAACGGTCAAAAAGACCCAGGCTGGGGGGCTTTTGGTAGGAGATATCCCGACCGACATAAGCCTTACCCCGATCAAGCTGCCTTCGTTCTTTCTTCTTTGTCTTTGCAGATAACAGGTCGGGCTTCGTGTGAAGAACCCGGTCGGGGTCCGACCGGGAGTTGCCCGAGTGGAAGTGTCGACCACCGAGCGGTAGCCCTTTGGCGAGAGAGCTGGTACAGGACACGTGGCGGCTCTCTACGACGACAGGCAGGGCACCTGGGAGGATGACACGTGGTGGCTATGTGGAGAACATGCCGAACGACCGGAGTCGTGTCTCCAGGCGCAGCGGCTATAAATACCCACAGTAGCTACAGTGTAGTGGACTTTTGGACGATCGATAGGTTGTTGTTAGAGAATCCCGACCGCAGTCAGTCGGCACTCAGAGCAACCAAGTAGATTGTACTTAGGACCTTTACCGTGATCAATAAAGACCTTTATTCGCTTTAATTGGTCTCGGGTTCATTTCATATTGCTTACGTATAATTAGCAGTATCAAGGAACATGCAACCAAACACGCAAACTACACATTTGAAGTAAATCGCATTAGAAAAACTGATATGATAATTATATTTCACCCACCAGCTGGAACTACTTAACATTGTCTAAGTGAAAATTATTTATTTATTTATTTTGAAAACCAAGATACTTTCAATATTAAATCAAACATTCAATACATAAATGAGTAGAATCAAGCCAAATTGTAAAACCATAGTTAGAACGAACTATCATTGCTAAAGTATGAGCGGCTTCATTCACTGATCTTGAATTAAAGTTGATAGATACATTTTCAAAGTGTCGTTGGAGCTTTTGACATTCATTAATGACACATCCTGCGAATGACAAATATGGTGACACACTCTTAAACAGATTACACACATGTTGACAATATGTATACATTCTCACCTTCGAATAAGTAAAATTATTTATTAATCACATCATACTTATTCCGTGCAACATATTTGATGATTAATATTCGTTGTTATAATTTACTATATTTTATATAGTAATAGCTTGGGAGGTATTTTTGGCGGAAAATTGTAAAATAAAATTTTGTTTTTATTAGTAGTATAGAGTATAGATTTTATTTAATTTTAAATTATAAAAATCAATCATCAATCAATTTATATTAAATAGTGTATAAATGTTTGTACCATTTTCTTTTGAATGCAAGTGTCCAACTATAAATTTCCAGTTGTATTTTCTTGTGCCCACTGCCCACAAATTTATGGTGTATTTAATTGTATAATCTGTCCATGTTTTTTTTTTTTTTGAAAACTATATTCTGTCCATGTTAATTGAGTTGATCCACCATGAATCAACATTTATTTAACGACAGATAAAATATGAAAAATAACCAATTTTTTGTTACCTTTTTTTCTTCTTCTTCTTCTTCTTCTTCTTCTTCTTCTTCTTCTTCTTTTTTTTTTTTTTTTTTTTTTTTTTTTTTTGAGGGGGAGGGGGAGAATACAATGGGGGTGCTACTCGGGACAGACAAAAAACAGACCGTTTAACCATTCTCATGAACGAAACCAAGACTAATAGCGCCTAATTGGTCATTGCGCACCAAAGCATCGGAACCCAACGGGGGGAGGGGACAAAACAAAAGACGCCCAACCCACGCTATCATTAGTAGCCAAAAAAGTCAATAAATTCGTTACTTTTGTTTTATTCGCGGTACACATGTACAACAGTACAAAAGAGCTACCACCAACATCATCAATCATCCTCCTACAGTGTTCGACGGTTCTGGACGTGTGGTTTCTTCTGCAGCCACGTCCCATAAATCCATAATGGTGGTCACCATCTCCTTGCAATCGCTTTGATTTCGATGTCAGAAATCCCCTTGATGTGAATCTACTGCAGCCCCATCTCAAAAGCTTCGAATTATGCTTCCCTAACGTTAACGACAGTCGACAGAATAGGAGAAGCGACATCCCTCAAGACATCCACCATCTCTATCCATGAGCACAACTCCTCATCCCGCAGGTTTGTTAGCATCTTTAAAGCAGCCATCAACATTAACGATCAAATCCGAATCAATCATATAACTTTCCATTTGAGTTGTTTTTGAACATAGATCCCATAGTTACCACCTCGCATAATAGTCCTCGAAAACGCTCTCATAACATCAAACTCTTGTTGACCAATCCACTCGATTTTGAACTGCAAACCCCATTCACTTCCTCCAAACGCAATGTCATTACGCCATTTCTATAGCCTTCAAGCAGTAATGGCGAAGGTAATAGTCCAGTCCCTGTTTGTTCTAGTGTTGACTTTCTTGCTCATATTGGTTGAAAGTTAAGCATCGAAGTCCAGATTATTGAGACGTTGCCTTTCGCTCCTAAAATATAAAATAATTTTAAATTTTAAACATAGTTCTCGACTCGAATCAATTTTACAATTATTGATAATAATTTTTAATAACAGGATATTCATAATTTTAAAATTTAGCTTTCAATTTTTTTTTTTTTTAAATTTAACAATAATAAAATCCTAATTCTTAATTGATTAAGAAAGAGGGTGTGGATAAAAGGGAGGCGTTTTCATTTAACCATCCCCGTATATATATAGATGGTGGGGATTCAACCCTTATGGAAGAAGAAGAACTTCTAGGCTTAGCAGCGGACGGGAAATAATTTACGGAGTACTTTTTATTTTATTTTATTTTTATTTTTACTTTTGGGTCCTCTCGGAACAAAGAGGCTGCGAAGACATTAGGCTCGGGTCGATCTATACCCAATTAGAACTCCGACACTCTACTATGAGAAAACCTTAAAGCAAAATATAGAAAGAAACACGAGGAAAACGAAGACGAAGAAGAAACAAACCCACATCCTCGTCCCTGATCTATTTTGCCGTTATCTCTCTGCCTCTCTATAGCCATCCTTCTCTCGCAGTACGTATGTATTGTGCATGTTATCTTTGTTTCTTCGATACCTAGGGTTATAATTAGCTCAATGATATATTAGATTTGATTTCTCCATTGCTGCATCGCATGCTTCCCGTAATTCTCTTTCGATTAATCTAACGTCCGTGTTGAGAAAATTTGTAACTCAGCGAGTTTCTATTTTGACTTTATTGTTTTTAATTTAATTGGTCATATTTTGTTGAAATCTGTCAACATATTTATGAGAATGGTGCTGGGTTAATGAAATCATATTCGTGTATATCTTCAGTAGCTGCAGCCTGCAGCTGCGGATCTTGATCAAGACCCAAGGAAATAAAGTGTGAATCCGAAGTGTGATTTTGTGTCTTCAACGTTAGCTGTTTGAACAACTTTGTGCCCACTGTGTGAAGCTGCGTAATGTAATGTGGCTTGAAAGCTTACCTGTCTGGAATAATCTTGTGTTATTTATGTGGGGAAAAAAGTTTTTTGGCTTTGCAATAGACTCTGCTTATTTAATCAGTAAACTGTGTTTATGTGATTTTAAGACTAATTTATTTAACATAATACTCATGGCGGCTTTTCTGTTGTCTTTCAGATCATACTGCACACGGGAAGATAATATTGTTGACATTAATCAATAAAGCGGTCCAATGGGTGAGACTGTAAGAAAGCGCAAAAGTTTGTGGGATGCAGAAGAAGATACTTCTCTTCATGTTGAGCCAAATGATAAAAATGCATGGTCTGGAAAGGGACAGTACCCTAGTTATCAGGAAAACAGTGCTTCAAAAACTGATTTCTTATCACCACAAAATGTTCCCCAGGAGAGTCATAGGAGCAGCCAACATGGGGAACGAGTTCCAGAAACTGAAGAAGCTGATGGGAAAAAAGACTTATATAGAAGCATGTCTCCAAGTTTTGATGGACGGGGGAAGCAAAGGGGTTGCCGGTCCCCTGATCACCGATCAAGCCAATCCCGCAGGTTGGTGATTGGTTTATTAAATGATATATCTTACATGCACCAAGATATATGACTCATCTTTTGTCTGTTTAGTGAGAGATTAAGTCATGTTCTCACTGTTAAGGGTGTATGTTTACATGCTCTAATTTTACATAAGTGACAATGCTCGAATAGTTACAGTGGAAAGAAATGATTTTTTTTAATGAAGTTTTTGCATGGAGTGCAATATTAGGCACCTTCTGGACTGCACAAGGGCTTGAAACCTCTAAAATGTTTGCATGCTCAAGTTTTGTCTGTAATTGTGGATTATCTACCATTATTGGATGTGGAAAAATTGGAATTCTTCATATAATTAGGATTTTTAGTGATGTTGCATTGCTTATCGTGTAATAGGCACCCTGCAAGAGACAGGAGCAGGAGCAGGGGAAGGGGAGAAGGCAGGAGCAGAAGTCCCAGTAGGAGAAGGGACCGAGCTAGGTATCAGGTGCAGAAAAGGAGTGGAAGTAGAAGCAGGAGCAGGAGCAGGGATAGGGGCAACATGAAAGCCAGAAGCAGGAGTCGCAGTCCTTCCCATAATTATAAAAGTGATCCACATGGATGGGGTGATAGACGGAATGGGTCTCGAATATCATCACAGACCTGTAGAGATTTTGCCACTGGGAAGTGTAGAAAAGGTAGTGAGTGTAGGTTCCTTCATCCAGATAACTTAAAGAGTACAGATGGATTTCAGTTAGAGGATGAATTGGCTGAAACGTTGGGTAACAGGCTAGAGCATGGACATGTCTCAAGATGTGCTAATAGTGAAGGTCATGAGATCCGGGATGAGCTTCCTGATGCATATGATATAGAGCATGATCAAACTAGGAAACGGAACAGAGTTATGATCACTTGTAAGGATTTCATTAAAGGCAAGTGTCACTGGGGTGCATCATGTAAATTCTTACATGCTGGCGTTTCTGGTGATAACTATGAAAGAGGTGTTAAGAATGCATCTCTCAATTATGTTCAGGAGCGTGAATCAACTAAAAGCACTAAACCGCTGTGCAAGTATTTTGCAGCTGGGAAGTGCTTTCATGAAAACTGCAAATTCTCTCATGATGGTCCCACCCCTAGCTATATTGAAACTAGACCCTCTGACAATATAGGTGGGTGCAGATTGGATGGCAAGAATAAACACCCGAGTGGCCCAAATTGGGATGATGCACAAAGGGACTCAAACCTTTCCCAAATTGGGATACACCCAAAAAGATTTATGGCTTCCCCAAATGGTAGAGACGCAAACACTTCTGGATCTGTTCTGGAAAAATTAACAGACAGTGAGGAACAGACGGATGGAAGTTCTCATGTTTATGAACAGGGTAAAACACAAGAAGCTTCAGGCGTTAATCTTTCCAACACAGTCATGAAACCTGAAATGTCTTCGAATTCTTTTGTTATGCCATATACTTCTGAGGACAAGGGTAAATTTGGGCCTAATGCACTACACGAAGTGAAAAACTCCAGGAACAGTGTTCATCCGGTTTTATTGCCTGGACAAAGCTACCAAGTTGGTGAAAATATGATTGTAAGCTCTGAACCTTCTTTCTTCACCAGCTCGAATCAGAGTAGACCGAGAAATCAGAAAGAAGCTGCCAGTTCAACAGATACACCAAGTATGGAATTCCCTCATAATCTTTCCACTGCCGCACTTGTCAAGCTTGCATCTCAAATGAAAAACTCTTCCACTTCTTCCATGTTTAAATTTGAAAATGAGTCTGCAAAATCTGAACTACATTCAGAGGTGGTACCATCTGATCCCAGTTCTGCACTTCCCATGTTCAGTGCAAAGCCTAATCCAGATCGATATCATGCCCCTGGTGATAGTGTTGAGTTGTGTACATCTGGAAACTTTATGATGCCTCTTGTCAATGCACCCCGTTTGGATGAGCAGAAAACTAAGGTTCCTCTAGAAAAATTGAATTTATCTGCTGTGAATCCTGGAGCTGGAGAAAAAAATGAAGTTGGTGGTTCAGGTGTGATGTGCAATAAAGATCCACTGTTGAAGCAACGGGAGATTTGTACAGATTTGGAAGTCAATGGAAACAACAAAATAGTTGCCAACAAATGTGATGATGGCCAAGAAAATAAGCATTCGGACAATGTGGAAGTCCATGGGAAGGCTGAAGAGGTAGGCGGTAATAAAGATGATAAAGCAATTCGATTGTTCAAGAATGCTCTTATAGAGTTTGTTAAAGAGATCCTAAAGCCCACTTGGAAAGAAGGCCGAATGAGCAGAGAAGTACACAAGACTATTGTTAAGAAGGTGGTGGATAAAGTCACGAGTACAATCCAAGGAGAGCACATCCCAAAGACGCAAGAGAAAATAGAGCAATATCTGTCCTATTCTAAACCCAAACTCTCCAAACTTGTACAGGTGAATTCTCAGCTTCTTTAATTTGTTCACTCAATTCCATTGAATTCAATTCTCTGGCATATAAATCTATTGATGACCAAAAGTAGGAGAGGTCAAATCACATGCTAACCCCCGTGCTCTATTCTCTGTTGCAGGCATATGTTGAGCGATGTCTGAAGGCACCCGATGCCTGAAACTCCCTATTTGGTCTGTGCATTTCATATCTATTTTGAATATTTCACCTAAGTTGGAACTGTGAAAATTGAAGTTTATCGCACCCTTGGGGTGGAGTTAGCCTGAAGTTCCCGGATACTTTTGTATATATATATTGATATATTCCTTTTGTCTTTTTAGTTAAAATCCTTGTGGTTTAACCTTGATCTGTGAATTAAATATGGGCACTGGTCTTTCATTATTCTTCTCTGGGTTTAATAAATATTCTGAGTACATGTTTGTTGGTGTCTAATTGTTGCCTCACTTCATAGTTTCTTATCATGAGGATGAGAAATGTATTCACTTTTTCGTTATGATAACAAGTGTTCGATTAATGTGAGGTGATAATATATGATTTAGGTAATTTCATGTATATACATCAATGTCTAGTTTTTTTTTCTGTCAATGGTAATAATTTTATAATTATTATTATAACTATTTTATTAATTAAAAAGAAATATTATTTTTGTATAATTAATTAAATAAATATAAATATTTTCTTATTTAATTTTAAATAAAAGAACACTTGCTCCGTAGTAATCTAATCACACAAGATCGGAATCGAAACGGCCACGTAAATACATAATCTGTGTATCATAGTCCATAGTCCATACTCCATAGCCGCCATATTTCGGAGGCAAGACCTCAATACTTTCTGTCGAAGTAGAACTCCGACTTGGACCTTTCGAACAAACAATTTGTCCCAACATGAACTTAATTACAGGTTGCCATTTCAAGGTGAGGTACGTCAGCCCGGACATCTCCGTTTCAAAGCAAATCAGTACAAGGAGTGGTGATAGGTTTAGCAGGGTCATTTGCCGCCATAGCCATCGCCTTTCATTCCTCCGCCGCCGTACACATCACCTTTCATCCTTGTTTCGCCCCTACCAATGTATCTATAATCCCTGCCGACCCCTTATAGCTAGTGCGAGGAAGAGAAACTCGAAGTCGGAGCCAATTCTCTCGCCTTCCATCGTTGAACAAGTGTTGAAGAATGACGACGAAGACGAAGACAAATTTCTTGCTGAGGACTTTGAAGACGGTACGTTCGTCATTTACATAATTACTTTCACCGTTCAACTACGTCCTGTGATTATTTTTATTTTTATTTTCGAGTGTTAATATCAGATGACTTTTTCTTCCCTAATTTTATATCCTAATATGAACTATTGAGCTCAGGTCTTAAACAAGTTGATTTGAAGTGATATATGTAAATGGTTGATGGTTTATTCGATTTGATTTTAGTATACTCCATTTTATGAAAGAATTCTGGACTTTTCTTCTATGTTCCATTAAAAAGTTTTAAGAACATGAAGAACCTTTATACTGCTTTCCTTTGTATGGCATGTGAACCTGGAGCTGTATTAGGATTTAGGACATAAAAAAATTCCACAAAGGTGTAAGCTTTATTAGTCATTTTAGAGGAATGAGCTGGAGGTTTAGAAGCGGTGGCTTACTTGGATAGGTAATTTAACGCTTTATGTGACCAGCTTAGACTATCACTTGCCTTATTTTTATTTTAACTACCAGATATGGTGCCTTTGATTATTATAGACAGTGGGGATAAACAGAAATATTTTAATTAATAGATAACAAACGGAAAAAAAAGTGGATAATGATTTTTCCAAGAATCCTGAAGCTATCTGTCAAATTATCTCCCATTTCCCTCAATTTGCTTTGAATCTCTGATTATTTGTAGTGTCATTATAAAATTGTGATGTGTTTCACATGTGGCAATAGTCTAAAACATAGCTTCAGTGCTTCTGATAATCTTTATACGGAGGACATTGCAAGATCCACTTTTTCTGTTTAGTGGTCTATGATGTCCACTTACCATGATACTACTGGTAGGGTATTAATACATACATTACAGTTATTTCAATTTGTTGTAGCGTGTTATCTACATTTGGATTTCTCTCCATACCTATCTTTTTAGCATAAAAGGAGTTCAGAATTCAGATAAGCTGGGGAGAAATGTATTAATTACTACCATATTTCACTTTGCCTACCTTGATTCCCTAATTGACTTTCCATTTGATTTCAATTAAATGGAACTCATCTGTAATGGCATTAACTGTTATTTTAGTTCTTGATATCTGATTAGTCCAATGCTGTTGTACTGTTTAGAGATAGGAGCTTAATGGGATTCCAAACCACTCTATTAAGCTTTTATTTTGACACTGTATCTCATATTGTCAAGTTACTTTAGTTTTTTAACCAATGACATGAAGGGCTTCAGAAACATATTAATATGTATCCCACAAGTGAAGATGAAGTTCCATTTAGATTAAATTTTAATATAGTTTAAGGTGAGAGATACAGCTCTTTGTGAAACATATGGTAGCAAGTTTGGATGCACATGCAGTTAATTTATTGTGACATACTGACATTTATATTGCATGCCAGAAGCTAGATCGGAAGTTGCATTTATCCCCTCCCACCCTTCTCTTCAGTGTGATCTTTCAGCATCTCAACTATTTTTTTTTTTTTTTTTTTTTTTTTTTTCCATTTATCGTAACTATTTTTAAGCCTCTTTTCAAGAGAATCAAGGGGACAAAATAGCAATTCTTTTTGGGGTGTTTCCAGGAACTTTTATTACTTCAGTTTCTTCTTCCATATCAATAATCAATGTATTCTGGATTTCCATGGGACAGAGGAGCTGCTGGAGGATGATAATGATGATGATTTCTTTTATGATGAGAGTTTTGAGGAAGATGCTAAACTCTTTGTGAGTATTATTGTTTAACAGATTTTGACCTCACATGACTAGCTTTTGTATGAACTATGAAAATTTAATGCTAGATAGTGTTAAATCGGTTACTCTTGATTTTAAGTTTGGCGATGGATCTGGAGGAGGTGGAATTGCTCTTGCTGGGACACCATGGGACAAAAAAGCATTAGAAATTGCTGAAGAAGTTGCTCTATCATTTGATGGAGAATTGGGAATATATGCCTTTAAGACGCAAAAAAATGCCCACATTGAAGTGCGAGTGGAGAGACTCACGAACAAGTAAGCTATGGGTGTGAATGATTCTGAGTTCTGACAGTAGTAAGTTTACATGGTATTTTGTAGTCATCAAAGACTTGATCTTTATTGTGGATATAAAAGCAATAATGCTCAGGATAAATCAGATTTGGAGACATCGAACAAGCATTTTGTTATAGAAACTATAATGATTGATGTTCGGTTGAGTAAATTCCCATTTATTTTTTTCTCATGCAACTGATTTTTATCTTTAAATCCTTACGTAACAGACATCTTTCACAATGTTGGAAATAGTTTTTCTATTTAGACATGGTTAAAAAATCGCTAAGCGCTCCTTGGGTGCCAGTTCTTTTTAGTCGGCGCCTAGGTGGTCTAGTCAGCCAGCCGGCTAGACCACCATTACGGTGATAATCTAGGCGGCCGGCTGGTGCCTAGCGCCTAGGCGCGGTTTTTGCAACATTGCATTCAGATAATAACCTATAACTTGAGGCGCCCTCACACAGATGAATAAATTTCTGCAGATCAGGTTCTCCTAGTATGGCAGACATTGAAGCTTTCTCATCAGCTTACAGAGCACGGCTTGATGAAGCTGAGTCCTTAGGATCTATTCCAAATAACTTATCCCTGGAGGTCTTTTTCTCTCAACCCTCTCTCTCTTAGCTTTGTATGACTCCTTATTTCTTGAGATTCCCCTCTCATGTCTTTAAGATGACGTACATTGCTACTGAACATGAAAGATGGGTTCTCTTGTTTAATTGGAACTATTCACATGGAATAATAAGCGTTTGTTTATCTTATCTTTTAACCTTAATATAACACAAAGCCTGCAATTATATGACGTGAAAAATGTTTTGTTGTAGGTATCTTCACCTGGTGTGGAGAGGGTTGTTAGGGTCCCAGAAGATCTTGATCGGTTCAAGGAACGTCCCATGTATGTAAAGTATGTGAGTGAAGGAATCAAGAGTGGCATGCCTACTGAACACGATGGTGTATTCAGGCTCGAGTCCTTCGATTTGGAAACAAGTGTATGCACATGGGGATTAGCCGACGTAAGGGTTAACCGAGAAAAAGCAGGGAAAGGAAGGCCCCTTAGCAAGAAGCAAAGGGAGTGGCGGTTAGACACGCCATTCGATTCTCTCCTTATGGTCCGGTTGCATTCAGAAATGTAACCATTGGGGTTAAATTTTGTATTCTTTAATGTGATTGCAGAATATTAGGAACTAACTCAAGTTTGAAGAAGACACGCCAGAATGAAGTTATATAACCACCTTAGTATTATATTAAATGAAAAATGAGTGCAGTTTATACATTGATTGTTAACGTGGTGCTGTGCTCCAAGTTAAAGCGTATTATTAGCTCTTACACAAGTGTAGTCATTTGGCGTTGTAGCTAATCGAGACTAGGAGGTTCACGAAGATATAGGTTATCAAACTCACTTGATTTTTTTTTAGTATATATTAAAATGTTTATATTACTGTTTTTTGTGTGTGTATAACATTTTAGAACTCGATTCTTATTTAAGGAAAGGTTTGACTTGTAATTATTTAACACATGATACACTTGTATAAGAGTTAATTTGAATGTGTAGATTTCTCGTGAGCACCGACATTTGATCTTGTCTACAGAGTCATTGAATTATTGTGATTTATATTTTTTTACATGTTCTGTCGGGTCAGTGTGTGGAGCTGGGATTAGAGATTCAATCTTTTGAAAAAAAAAAAAAAAAGGCATGTTTCGGTAAAGAAAACGGGCTATCAATGTCGGCAATGTGTAAGAAACAATTAAGTACGATTGTTCTTCTTCTTCTTATATTTTTATATATAAGGTAGGTAGATAGTAGAATTTTCTTTCTTTCTTTCTGATTAAAACAGAAAAGATATTTTTTTTTTGAAGAAATTACAAAATTACAAAATATAAAGAAAACGTGCTACCTACTGTCAGTAAGAAACATTTTTTTTTTTTGAAATAAGAAACAAATATATTTAAGTACGACTGTACTTATATTATTTTATAAATTATAAAAAACATGTAGATACTATAATTTTTTTTCTTTTTTAGTAAGATAAAAAGGATATCTTCAAGGGAGGTTGTAGGATCGAGCCTGGCGATATTGGCTCTTTGTGTTTCAATAGGTTGAGAAAGTAGGTAGTTATGAACAGATTGTGCATTGTAATAGATTCAGTAATATTAAAAAAAAAAAAAAAAAAGATATCTTCAAGAATCTACAAACTTACAAATACATGAGGGACTATATTATGTGACCGATTTTAAATTTATAGTACTTTTTAGTGAAAATGTAATATTTTTTGTTTGTAAGCAATATTGCATTGTGATTAAAAAGTATTGTGTGTAAACTTTTTTGCCAACTTTGATGCGGTATTCAGTCCTTGACATCCCCCAGGAGAGATGTGTTGTCTCCTCGTGGGCGATGCTAGTGGCGCGGGCGCGTGGCCTCTCGTAAAGTTAAATAGAGCTGAGGCCTAGTATCTTTTATCTCACCTAAAAAAAGAACATTAGATAAATTGTATTATAAAAAAAGATGAAATGAAATGTATAGGAGATTCATGTTTGACACTTTAGAAATATTTACTAAGATTATAAGCTCATAACTCCCAGGGGAGTAATTTTTTTTTTTTTTAGAGAAAAAGTTATGTAGGAGTAGTTTAAGAAGCCCTAGACCCCCAATGGAGAAATCTACTACAAGAAGTACTCTTCAGTCTTAATGGATGTTTTCAAAAAAAATACTCTTAATGGTTAGAGCATCACCATCTATGTACAAGCGCATTAACTACGTTTGTTTTTTTTTTTTTTTTTTTTTTTTTTGGAGAAAAAGTTATGTACGAGTAGTTTAAGAAGCCCTAGACCCCAATGGAGAAATCTACTACAAGAAGTACTGTTAATTGTTAGAGCATCACCATCTATGTACGAGCGCATTAACTGCGTTTTTTTGTTTTGTTTTCTTTTATTTTTTTTAAGAGTTCTATTACATATACTCTCAAATATTACTCCATCAATTTTACTCCTGATGTTGCAGGTTCTGATAAGTTATTTTTTCATGTGAGTCCCAATACAAGTGTCTACATCAAAGTTTTGTGTATGAGAGTAAAAATGAGAGTACACATAACATTTTTCCATAAAAAACTACTCATATTGAGGTTGCTCTTAGAGCATCTCCATCATTTGATTTTTGCACAACATTTTAGAAAGACGTGTAGGAGAAAGAAAAAATGAAAGAGAAAAAAAAAGGAAAAAAAAGCATCTAATAATTAAAAAAAAAAAAAAAAGCAACAGTCAAAAGGTTAGAGTGGCCGCCAGCTAGTGGCCACTCTGACGCACCGCAGCGGGCACGTACGGAGCACGCACTCGCTAGGGTGTGTGTGTGTGTGTGTTTTTTTATTTTTTTTTTGTTTTTTGTTTTTTGTTTTTTTAAGATTGATGAAGAGTTAAGTCCAACATCCTACTTTTAAAAATGTGGTGGTAGTCTATAAGAAAATAAAGTTACACATTCGTTACTACGTATAACTTTTGACTTAGTAGTAAGTGTTTGATCTAACAAGTGATATCAAAAAACAAGTTACAAATAACATATATTGAGAGAGAAAATTGTTGGGTAAAAATTATGAAGGGCTAAGTCCAACACCTATCATTCAAATGTAAAAAACTTATAAAAGAATTATCAACATATTCCCACACTATTTTATTTTATTTTTTTCTTTTGAAACCAATTTCTCGATTTCAAAAAATGGTTTGAAAGTGGAATGGTTAGTGGGAATTTAGGAGTAACATTATAAAACACGAAAATCAAGAGCATAATAATAATAATGAGAACAAGATTTGAACCCACAGTATATGATTCACGGAGTCTCTCCCCACTTTTCTGGTTGAAACGTAGAAACCACTGCACCCACTGGTTTCTTGGATACATGGGCTGCCATTTCTTTTTCCAAATCTGTCGCTTAATATTACTATGCCTTTTAAATTACTAAACTACCCACACTGCTTTCTTTTATTACCACTAGCACTACTAAATACTAATACACATAATTTCCTGATTATTGTTGATGTGCAGTCACTCTATTAAAAAGTTATTTAAATTTAATTTAATAATTTTAAGTAAAATAAAAAAACTCCACCTACTTCCCTGTGTTCATCTCTAGTGGAAGATGAAGACAAGGTGGGAGTATTTTTTTTAAAAAATATTTTACTTTATTTAAAATAATAAAATTTTAACGCAATGATTATCACAGCAACGGTAATAAAAAGGACATGCTAGTTTTTGTTTAATTGTATAGTTTAAACTGTTCAATGTCTTAATTACGGAGTACAATTTTATTTTGATTTAGATAACCTAATTATATTTATACGTGTAATTTGATGACCTATTTAAGTATTATTTTTAAGATCAGAATCCATGAATTTATTATAATTTCTGTGTTTAGTAAAACATGTAGACTTATATAATTGAATTTGAATAAAGTTAAGTATATGATTAATAAAGTGAATTATGGGTGTGAGTATAGTGGCAATTGGGTAATATTATGAGAGTATTGAGGGCAGATTATGAAGGAGATTTCCTATAAGAAATTGGTAACCCCTACTTCTCACTCATTGCAACCCAGACGTTTGACTTTTCTTCCTGATTGTAAGCATGCAGCAATTCTTAGTATTCTCCGCCACCGCCAACACACTTGCATGCTCTCCATCTGCCTTTCCGGCCGCCCTCCACCGCCGTGTAGCGCCGATCTCAGCCATTGCCGCCCCGCCGCAGCCGCTCCGTTACCAGACGACGCACTCGATGCCCCCCGAAAAAGTCGAGATTTTCAAGTCGCTAGAGTCCTGGGCGTCGAACTCGGTCCTCCCTCTCCTGAAGCCGGTGGAGAAATGCTGGCAGCCCAACGAGTTCCTCCCCGACCCGTCCCGTCCCTCCGACGAGTTCTTCGATGAGGTTCGGGCGCTCCGGGAACGGAACTCCGGCCTTCCGGACGATTACTTTGTGGTTCTGGTCGGCGATATGATCACCGAGGACGCGCTGCCGACTTATCAGACCATGATTAACACGCTTGACGGGGTGCGCGATGAGACCGGCGCCAGCCAGAATCCTTGGGCGGCTTGGACTCGAGCCTGGACCGCCGAGGAGAACCGCCACGGCGATTTGCTCCGGACCTACCTCTACCTTTCGGGTCGGGTCGATATGACCATGATCGAAAAAACGGTGCAGTACTTGCTTGGCGTTGGAATGGTTAGTCCCTTCACCTCGTTTTCTTATTCAAAAAAATAAATTTAAAATTTGAGCCAAATAATTATTTACCGTTTACACCCTCCAGTAAATCCTTGTCACTGAAACAGTAAAATTCGTTGACCATACGTCAACGTGCTACATTTTAATTTAAAATTGTCAAAATATTGTGAGTTTTTTTTTTCCTGAATTGTGTTTTTATTGGTATAAAAAAAAAATGGGTGAGTAGGATCCGGGCACGGAAAACAACCCGTATTTGGGATTCGTATACACGTCATTCCAAGAGCGAGCCACATTCGTGTCGCACGGCAACACGGCTCGGCTAGCCAAGGAGGGCGGCGATCTGGCGCTGGCGCGCATTTGCGGCAGCATTGCGGCGGACGAGAAGCGGCACGAGAACGCGTACGCGAACATCGTGGAGAAGCTGCTGGAAGTGGACCCCAACGGCGCCATGCTCGCCATAGCCGACATGATGAGGAAGAAGATCACAATGCCGGCTCACCTCATGTACGACGGCCAAGATATTAATCTCTTCGAGCACTTCTCGGCGGTGGCTCAGCGCCTCGGCGTTTACACGGCTCACGACTACGCGGATATCTTGGAGTTTTTGATCGGACGGTGGAAACTGGAGAAGATGGAGGGATTGAACGGGGATGGAAGAGGCGCACAGGACTTCGTGTGTAGACTGCCGTTGAGGATTAGGAAGCTGCAAGAGCGAGCCGACGAGAGAGCCAAGAAGTTGGCGCCGCGTGGGGTGAAGTTCAGCTGGATTTTCAACAGGGAGGTTACTATATAATATATGAAATTTAATTTAATTCAGGATGATATGATATAAATCATGAGAATGGATTGCCTCGTTATTATTATTTTGTTCTTTTAATGTATAAATATTTGCAAGGACTTGCTTTTCTCATCTCAGATCATGTCTAAAGTGTCTAAAATATGAAATTTATTATTGGCTTGGCTTTAAGCCCAAGAGAAAAGAAAAGAAAAATTGTGACGGTTAAATTTTAAAAAGTGACACATTTGTGTACTTTTTGTTAATTAATTTTAAATTTGATTTAAGTAAAATTGTTACTTGCCAAAGATCTTGGTTTGAATCTTAAATCTTAATGGAGACATTGACTCTTTAAATATATTAAGAAAGTATGTATGTGCAATAAAGTCAATAATATTTTTAAAAAAATTGTTACTTTTTATATTTTGAAGCACGCCAGACAATTAGCTTGATGCTTTGTAGTACAAAGTTTCTTATAGACTATTTGTTTAGCTTAGTAATTACAATGTTTCATATAGACAATATTTACGTAGTTTAGTGTTTACAATATTTCATATTCACTGCAAGAGTATAATTTAAACTGGTTATGCAAACTTTTTCATAAATAGGTAATGCAATGTTATGACTGCAAGGGTAGTTAATTAGCAGGTTAACATAATTGATTTGATAATAAGACATAACTAAGTGAGAAATATAAAGAAACAATATTTTTAACGTGAAAATCACGGTTTTTTTTTTTTAAAGGAATCACGGATCTTTTTAATTGGTACTAAGCTGGAATTTACTATTTTTGTAAGTAGCTCTATACATGTACAATTGTGCTCTCTTTCTTCTCTTCCTACAATTGTGCTCTCTTTTTTCTCTTCCTACATTAACCATCTATTTATTGTAGAATGAAATATTTTTTAGAATATAAGTGATTTAAGAAATCAAATGTAAAGATATTTAGGTAACGAGAAGCGATTTAGGGGAAAAAGAGATGTGTAGGAAAGTAGTTCATATATAGGTTGACTTGACTATCATAATTTCACAATTGTCATTTCATTTCTTCTACTAGTCACGTGCTAAGTGTTGAGCGTCTATTCGACTAACTATTTAATTGACTACTGTGCCCAACTGCTTGCCAATAGTGCTGATTAAATACTCGTATTACAAATCCATCAAGGACAATGATGATCAAATAAATAAAATATAATTTTAATTTGTACTTAAATCGTCACGGGTTATATTATAAATCATTAAATGTTTTATAGTTGCTCTAGGTAGTACAAGAGAAAAATATGGATTTGTTTGAACACACTCATGAAAATAGATTATTAGATATAAAAAGTTGCAAGATAAGTGTCGAGTGTCTGTCCGACTGACTATTTAGAGTTGATACACTTATTACGAACACAGTCATGAAAAAATTGGATTTGTTTGAACACACTCATGAAAAATAGATAATAGATATAAGAAGTTGCAAGTTTGAGGTTGATTTTTCAGTAGGAGAATTCTAAATCTCCATGCAATTAAGTACAGCAATTTAATCTCACAAGTGCACACGATACGGCATCCTAATCAAGGCCCAAAAACCTTATTCTTATTACTCCTATCATAATCTATAACTCTGTCTCATACTTGTAGGGATACACTCTGCCAGCCATCTGTATCTTCTTCACAGAAGAGCTAATGATGACGATGACGAATCAGTGTTCCATTTTGATGATGCACCTCAAGCTTTCCCCTTTCAGCATCAGATCAAAGGCTTTGTTGATTTCCGAGAAGCTCACTTGGTGGGTGATGAACTTCTCCAACTCCAGCTCCTGCATGCATATGTTCATTTATTCATTCATTCATTCATTCATATGCATCAACAAAAACAACATACATATATACCTTTTTCATGTATTTCTCCACCACAGCAGGGAGGTCTGATCTGGGTTTGTAGTTGCCAAAGAAGGTGCCTTTCAAAGTCCTCTCGTTCAGCAGATTCACCGGGTGAGTTTTGAATGCATCGTCTTTGTTTGGCACCCCCACAAGAACAGCAACACCCCAACCCTGTCAGCATCCCGTATATTTTCAGTTGGAAACACAGACTTACAAATCTTAAATACAGATACTACAATATAATATAATAGGCAGGCAAGACAGTTAATTACATCATGAACACATTCGAATGCGGAGATCATTGCATTGATGTTTCCAGTGCACTCCACACTCCGGTCCACCCCGCCATCTGTCATCTCAACAATCACCTGCAAATATATGCTCAGCTTTAAACAACCAACAAAACATCAATGCCAACATTTCAATGGCAAACAAACTAACTAACCTCTTGAACAGGCTTGCTGTGATCTTTTGGATTCACAAATTCATTAACACCAAACTTCTTAGCTGTGCTCAACAAAACCAATCAGCATCATCATTATCATCATCTTGAATACAACATAATTTTGTTTTTAAATTTTTTGTGCCATTGCAGAACTAACCATCTTCAAACCTACTGGCGTTCAAATCAACACCAATAATCCTGGATGCTCCAGATAACCTAGCTCCTTCGGCAGCCTAATAGTTCAAATAGAGAGACAACACTTGGAACAAACATCACCTGTTGAAATTTGCAAAATACTGAGTAATAAAGAAACAGGGCAATGGCCCAAAGTGTACTCACAGCAAGGCCTACAGCTCCCAATCCAAAAATGGCAACAGTCGAGCCTTTTGTCGGTTTGGCAACGTTTACAGTAGCACCAAATCCTACACCACAAGTAGGACATTTGATTAGTAAACACTAACAAACATTATACTGTAGCTACTTACCATTTAGTGTGATCGATCTCTAACTCTAACCTGTGGATATTCCACAGCTGAGAACACAAACTTTGTCAAGTGGTGCCTCAGGATTGATCTTGGCAACACAACCAGCATGGAGAACCGTGTATTCACTGAAGGTGGAAGTTCCAACAAAGTGATATATGGGCTTCCCATCCTTGCTGAACCTCGTCTTTTCATCCGCAATCATAACCCCCCTGTCAGTGTTAATCCGGAGAAGGTCGCACATATTGCTTTCCTCTGATTTACAGTGCCGGCAATCTCCACACTCCCCAGTGAACACTGGAAGAGCATGGTCTCCTGGTTGGAGATGTGTTACCCCTTCACCTACGCTCTCTACAATCCTAAATTCAACAAAAGTTACAAAAGTAGACAACAACTTAATGCTGCCATAACTAGCTCAATTGTTTAAAAGCTAGTAGCTATTTCAAAATAAGCTATTCCGTTTTAAGCTTTATGCTTAAAAAAAACATAGTTTATAAGTTAAAATAAGTAATAAGCTCTAAAATAAGAACAGAGCCATAAACCCAGAAATCAATCCAGAATGCACTAAATAAGAGGCTATCTATTCAAGCATGATATGATAATACATTTTGACACAGTTTTAGATTATACCCTCCAGCTTCATGTCCAAATATTCTTGGGAATAGAGGAGTTTGACCCTGCAGTCAAATATCAAATGATAAATCAGTAAAGTTGAGTATTCAATTAGAACAAATAATTTATTTATTTATGACTAAATGGAGTAATATACTATATTGGGGAATAAGTCATAAACATGTACCCATTTGGTATGGCTAGCTTTCAAATATATGCAATCGGATTGAATAGTAGATTGAGCATTGAATATAAGCTAGCTAATTAGTTGTGATTACTAACGCTAATTAATCTAATAAAATATGAAACCCACAAAAAAAAAAAAATGTTAACTTACCTTGGCTTCCCAGAAGTAAACATCAGTGTGGCAAAGGGAGGTGTAGAGAATCTTCAAACGGACTTCCATTTTCTGTGGCGGCGCCACCTCTACTTCCTCAATAACCAAAGGTTTTCCGGCTTCCCATGCCACCGCAGCTGCAAAACCATCATGTTCCGCATAATCAATCATGCATATGCATTCATAAACAACCACAAATTAAAGCAGATCCGATCCATGGAGTGGTTGAATAAAATTAAAGAAAAAAGAAGCAAAATCCCATTAGACCAAATCAAGAAACACCCAAAATCACATCACATAATCACATGAAACCAAAAAACGATATTGAAATCCGGTAAAGCAAAATCACCTTTGCAGCGAATGACCTGACCAACAGTGTTAGCAGCCATAGCTTTCTGTATTTTCTTATTATTATCTGATCTGTATGTAATATGTATGTATATTGTGAATGCAGAGCAGATGATTCCAGAGTATGTATATGTATTATATACTCAGTAGCGTAGCGTGGCACAGTTTGCGCGGAACTGACACCGCTTCAAAACTTCCACGGACGAGAATGCCCTTCTCCTTCGATTACGCATTTCCCCTACAAAAGTAGAAAACTACGCATAGTTTGTCTTTTCACAGTTTGCTCGTTGCATTTCTGTAGGCGCCTTTGGTTTTAGTTTGGTTCCTACACTTCACCACGTGTCCCCACCTCCTTTGGCAATGGCTTCTCAGTGGAAAAAAAAAAGTAAAAATCATAATTTTATTTTTTTTTTTGTTTTGTTGTGACGAGTAAAAGTTTACAAATCACATAAAAACAAGTGAATTGTACTATAAGAAATGAATTTTTTGACTACACAAATTAAAATGATTCTTGATAAAAAAAAATCAAATGATTCTTTGACTAATAAAGCAAGTTGTATGATTGAAAACACAAGAAAAATATAATGGTCGTACAATTGTCCAATGGGTTTGGTAGAAAATGGGCAAACATCCATTGGATGGATCCACCATTGGAATATTGATTCCACCTCATTGGATATAAGTTTTCCTATTTAATTGAGACAAAACATATTTATTTTGTTTTCATTCTCCTTAATTCAATTAGTTCGTTAGAAATATGTAATAAAATCTTATCTTTATCTTACTCTATATAATAGCAAAATGTTTTTTGCCACATCAGTTTCCCGCCTAAATGAAATTGCACCATTTTAAGGTATTAAATATCAATTAAATGAAATTGCATCATTTTAAGGTATGTAATGCAACATACTTATCTATTTTCAATACATGTTAATCTACAATTATTGTTATTTAATGACGAAGCAGGTAATACATTCCAGTATTTTTAAGTTAACATTTTATTATATAAATTAATAAATTAATTTATTATTTATTGAAAAAAAAATTAGAGTACCCGATTTTAAAAAATAAGATTAACCTGTTTTTTTATTCTTACAATTTTATTCATCGACAACAATTTAATTGTTCATTCTAATATAATTTTGAGAGGGAAAAATAAAAAAAAAAATAAAAAATAAAAAAGTTACTAAATTAGTTACTAAATTGAAAGAAATTTTTTTAAAATTTAAATCAGTTGCATGAACAATAATATTGGAGAGACGAATAAGTTTAAACAAATAATTATTGAACTGATATTAAGTAATTAGAAAATATGATGTATTTCTTAATTTCGTTTTAAACAATAAGTTTTATCTGAAGATGATACTGTATTTATTAGTTTGTTTTAGATCTACTCCGGTATGTTATAACACAATTCTTTATAATATATGCTAATAGTATGTGATGTTTGATATAACAACCAATTTAGTATTTTTAAAGAAAAATACATTTCAGAATAAGTTTTAATTTCATGATTAATATTTTATTTTATTCTGTTTAAAATATTATCAATAATAAAGTTACTTAAATTGTATGCCGTGCATCGCACGGGGCAAAAACTAGTTATGTCTAATGCGCTATTGGATCGGAGTGTGGGGGCCCCTTAGGGTTGAGAATTGAGCCTTGGGGTAATAAATATGTAATAAAATGTTATTATTATTCATTATTCTTCTTCTTTCCCACCTTTTGTTTCCTATATCTTTTAAAATTTTAGTTTTTCGTTTCTTCTTCTAATGGCTGAACCCCAACCCTAAGGGCCCTCACATCCCAACCCGACAGAGCATTTGTGAGGATGTAAATCATGTAAAATTTTAGTTTTTTTTGTTTCTTGTTTATATAGAGTCTATTTTATTCAATTTTTTAAATTCATTCAAAAATAATACGGAGTATACTTTTATATATAAAAAAATCACACATTTTACGTGAATTAAAAATAATCATGATTTTACCAGGACTATGTGGTCTAATGGTATTCGGGTTGGACTTCCATTTGGAAGATTGTGATTTCGAGCCTCAGTGGAGGCGTTATTGGCTCTTTGTGTTTCAGTAGGTTGAGAAAGTATATGAACAGATACTACATTGTAATAGAGCTAGTAGCATTCAAAAAAAATAATCATGATTTTTTGTTTCAAGAATGCTCGAAAATTCATGAATTTGACTAAAATAAATTATGAACCTTTTTAGTATTCATCTCATAAATTTAATTGAGAAAGTAAAATACTTTTTGAAAAAAAAAATGTAAAACTTTTAAATCAAAATGTAAAAGTATATTTTTTTTCAAAAATATTACACTTTCCGTTATAAGTAACAAAGACTTTGTTCTTAATTAATATTACATTTTTCAAACATAAGTATTATATATTTAATAAAATTATTACATTTGTATATTGACCTGAACCGTCTCACTAACAATAATTCTTGAAATAATTTCACATAAATTTTTATCATCATCAATTATCCCGTAATAATTTTGTTTTTAAGGAGAGAGAATAAAGGTTTAATCAGAGGAAGTAAAACCATCAACTGGTTTTTAGGTAAGAGAGGATTGTGGTATTGCTCATTTTCTATTACGAATTACCACTAAGTTTTTATTTAAGAAAAAAAAAAAAAAGGAAAACCAGATGCCTCAATCAAAACCCATGAACCAAAACTTGGGAAAAGTTTCAGATTTTGACGCCTACTGTATTAAATTGTTGACAACCCATATGAGGATGCTTCCGTAGTTCCGCCTACTAACAAACCCCTGGTATGCAAAACCACTTATGACTTCCCTTAATTGTTTTTAAATTTTGTTTCCTCTGCAACTATAAATGCCCAACCTTCACCTTCAAACCAACCCACATCATCAACATTCCTATTCAGTTCGAACTAACACATATTTTCAGACAACAAAAATGGCATGCACTGCTGGGCAAGTCATTCGATGCAAAGGTACTATCTTTTTTACATTCTCTTCTTCTTGATAATACATGGGTGGTTCAATTTTTTGCCCACAATCTAGTACCATTTAAGCTGCAAGGTGGGTTTTTGGTTGCAGCTGCGGTGGCATGGGAAGCAGGGAAGCCGCTGGTGATAGAGGAAGTGGAGGTCGCTCCGCCGCAGAAAATGGAAGTCCGAATCAAGATTCTTTTCACTTCTCTTTGCCACACTGATGTCTACTTCTGGGAAGCCAAGGTATACTATACTTGCACAAATCTCATACCCTTATTTATATATTTCATTTTGATTTGATTGCCCTTCTAAAAAATGATTATTTTTTGGGGTCTTGCAGGGGCAAAATCCTGTCTTTCCTCGTATTCTAGGACACGAGGCCGCAGGGTAAGCTTCTATTCATTAATCAAGAATTATGGTTACTCAGATTTTATGCTTTTTAAATTAAATTCTTGATTTTGTTTGTGGGATTTTAGGATTGTGGAGAGTGTAGGAGAGGGAGTGACAGAACTAGCACCAGGGGACCATGTGCTACCTGTTTTCACTGGGGAATGCAAAGAGTGTAGACACTGCAAATCAGAGGAGAGCAATATGTGTGATCTCCTCAGGATCAACACTGACAGAGGGGTGATGCTTCACGACCAGAAATCAAGATTTACAATCAACGGCCAACCAATCTATCACTTCGTTGGAACCTCCACTTTCAGCGAATACACTGTCTGTCATGTTGGTTCTATCGCCAAGATCAACCCACATGCACCTCTAGACAAAGTTTGTGTCCTCAGCTGTGGTATCTCCACAGGTACACAACAATCTAGTCAATTATCAAATCTTGAACATCATTAAAAAACAAAGAAAGAATTAGGTTTGATGTGTTATGTTTTGCAGGTCTTGGTGCCACATTGAATGTTGCTAAACCAAAACCAGGCTCAACGGTGGCTGTGTTTGGATTGGGAGCTGTTGGTCTTGCTGTAAGTCTTCTTAGAAGATGTCAATATTCTGACAAAAATAAAAAGTTGATATAGGTGAGACTAAAAAATTGTGTAATATTGATCAGGCTGCAGAAGGGGCAAGAATGGCAGGTGCATCAAGGATCATTGGTGTTGATTTGGTCCCCAGCAGATTTGAACTAGGTAAGGTTTTCTATTTCCTTATTACTGTTATTAGTACAATGATGTTTGATCAGTTGGCTAAGTTTTGTAAGTTTGCTCTTTTTTTAATATATTGCAGCCAAGAAATTTGGTGTGACTGACTTTGTGAACCCAAAAGACCATAGCAAACCAGTTCAAGAGGTGATTGTTGAGATGAGTGATGGAGGAGTGGACAGAAGCGTGGAGTGCACTGGGAACATTAATGCCATGATTTCTGCATTCGAATGTGTTCATGATGTATGTGCTATTTATGTTTCTGTAAACCTTAGCCGATTCATTAACAGGTTGCTAATAATAAGGTTTGGTTTGTCAGGGATGGGGAGTGGCGGTGCTGGTGGGAGTGCCACACAAAGAGGCAGTGTTCAAGACTCACCCCATGAACTTTCTGAACGAGAGGACTCTGAAGGGTACTTTCTTTGGCAACTACAAGCCCCGCACTGACCTCCCGGCTGTTGTGGAGAAATACATGAACAAGGTAACATATCTGTTCTGTCTCGACTAAAAGTCTTACACATCATCACCAAATGATCGAACCAATCTGAGATTTGGTCATTTTTGAGAATTTGCAGGAACTGGAATTGGAGAAATTCATCACTCATGAAGTGCCGTTTGCTGAGATCAACAAGGCATTTGATCTGATGCTCAAAGGGGAAGGCCTTCGCTGCATCATCACCATGTAGACTCTTGTCTGTGCTGAAACTGTGAAAAAGAAGATGCTTCTATTTTGTGTTCATTATGTAGTCATTCATGTTTTCCCATTTCCCTCCAAAAAAGGTTGAGTTTTGTGTGAATATTACAATCATGTACTATGTATTTTGTATTGTATTGTATTGTACACCTTAATCGGTTCAATACTGGCTTTCATACTTCTTTCAATTGAACCTGAGATGTGGATTTACACAAGACAACACTATATATGACAAATTACAAAGAAATAAAATGAGATATACCAACTAGCCAGTTGTCCATAACTGACCGACTCAACTCAATAAGACCAATAGATCACTTTTACTGAAAGTTGAACTTGTAACTATATGATTACCAAGTCAACAGTTTGATCAATTTGGCTGGTGTTCGCCATCTACATGCGTTTTTCACAGGATAAAAGCTTCCAGTTAGAATGAGGACCTTCACTATCATTGAATTTGAATGCCACCCATCCCATTGCATGCACTATTTCATCTAGTTCATCAATGATAGGTGTGAGGTCACGTATATAAACTCTTCCTCCAGGTCTCAGAATTCGGTCCATTTCTAACACAATGTTTGATATATTACATCTGCATACACAACAAACCTTAGTTTTTACACTCTCCATAAGTGAAATGTGAACTCACTTTGCTTGCCCAAACAAGTACAATATTACCTCTTCTTCTCTGCCGAGAAAACACCAATTGCGTTCAGTAAATCATAAGTTCTTGGATAAGTGTCAAATGGCTCACACCTATACACAATTCGAAGGAGAGCAATCACTTCATCACTTATTCCAGTTCACAAATTGGCAGAAAGATTTCACTATATAGCCCTTACCAATCATGCATGACACCAATGAGACCGCGATCATAAATAACAGGGAGTGTATTTGGACCGCTGACAGGAACAACGTTCATAACCCAACAATCAATCCCAGCATCAACTAAAGCTGCTGCAAAACTGTCAAAAACCTCAGAAATCTTAGTTCCAAAGTTTTAAAAATGAATTAGTTTTGATTGGGAAGGAATATATATACCTTCCATATCCAGCTTTCATGTCCATTACATTTCGGAATCTGAACTTTTTCCAATGGAAAGCACCAATATATCCACGAACCACATCGTACATATAGTGTGTGTCTGCTTTGTATATTTCCTTTCTAGACAAGATGGCATCCATTTTGATGGTAAATAGCCTGTCCGGTGGAGAGTTCAGGCGAGCAGGCCACACAGTCACATTAGATCCATAGCCATTCTCAGGTAAACGTGTGATACACGCCTTCATATTCACATACCTGGTACAAAATAACAAGACAACGTCATAGAGCAAGAAATACCAGACATCATAGTAGAAAGGGAAAGTGAAACCAGACAACATTTGACAGGTTGTAGAGCAGGAAATACCAGACATCATTGGGGTCATCGTCGTTTCCACATAATGAAGGCTTTGCAGTGGGATTGCGGTTGAGATAACAACTGTTGTTCAATGGCTTCTGCCATATAGCAATGCCTGCCTCCTTCTTCAAAAGCTCCCAACAAAGGCGACTAGCAAGATCCTCCATTTCTGCATTTCAGTCACGCCAATAACCAATTCGAGAACCATGAACAGTTAAAGGACATAAGTCACATGAAATTCAAGACAAATTAAGGTATCAAACATATACCTCTCCATTGTTCGATTGATTTTTCTCGATTGTCAACAGGCTGTTCTGCTAGAACAAAGTATCCTCCTGCTCTAAGCATTCTGTTCACCTCAAGAAGCAAAATTCCCTCTTCACCAGTCACCACAAGCCAAAGAAAACAATGATATCATTACTATGAACTTGAAATGAGTTGGATAAAAAACGTTATTCCCCATAAACTAACAGAATAAGCATGGAAAATGTGATGTACTAAAGATCATATAGGACTGAGGATGTACCATCGCGGATCCAATTGACTTTGCATCTTGAACAATGTATCAACTCAAATGCTTGGCTAGGATACAATAACCGACGTGTTGCAAGCCCAGAAACCATGGCAGAAACACCACGCTCAAGTGCAAACTGAACCTGGTTATCGCTAGCATCTTTGGGAGCTATAGACAATGTGATTACATTGTGGTTGGACAAATAAGCACCAAAGCTTCCTATGCCACAACCAATATCCAAGACAACGCGTGTGCGTTTGCCAAAGGCAATATCTGGAACCATCTACAAGCAAATGGAAAACAAAGAAACAAATGCCATGTGAGTATTGAAAAGTAACCAGGTGAGCATAACTCATAAAAACCAGCATACCTTGGATATTTGATCCAAATGTTGTTCTACACCATTGGGAAACTGAGTTCCTCCTCCAGGAAATATGAACTTACTTCCATTTCTTGATATCAAATTCTGCCCTTCTTTGTTATCAACCAAGGAAGTCTGAGGTATATTAGAAACCCAAACCTACAGAAACATTTGAAAAGACAGTTAAATACTCAAGTAAAATACCAAAGGAAATACTCAGTTGGCTCTTGTGGTAGATTATGGGTAAGGACAAAAGATCGAGCCCCAGCAGCTGTAGTGTGGAAGTTTTACCCTCTTGTAGGGTAGCTACTTGTGGACACTAGGCATGGTCTTCCCTCTGAATCACCATGATTTTCTCTTCCATAGTGGTTGGGATGTGGGACCATAGGGCAAGAAATTTCACTTTTTGTGGGCAAAATACCAAATTAAAATACTACTATGTTCTACATATATAATTATAATTAGTTAATTACCTCATCTCGGCTTTCCGGCCAATGAACTCGAAATTTATACCCTTTGGGCCAGGGCACCACACAATCCAATCTTTTCCGGTTCTCCGGGCAATGCCTCTCATACTTTTCCCCACTCTCCGGCGAACTCAATTTCGATATAGCCTCCGCATTGTCCAAGCAAGGAATGTAGTCGCTCATGTTCTCATCACAAACTTCAAATTTCTCAAATTTTCCCTTTACAAGCTCTCTATCCTCGTCTTTATCTGCTCCTCCCTCATTCTCATTCGCCACAGTCTCCACCAGGGCACTTTCGAAATCCCCAACGATAAATTCCCCCGCCATCACGCCATTCTCGTCTATAATTCCCATCCATTCCAAGAAATCCCCCTGCGACCTTGGCCGAGCTGCCGCAGGCGGAGAAACAGGCTGCTGAGACTGGGTGGTCACAGTTGTGCCAGTATTGATGGTGACGGTGATGGTGTCAAGGATGGAGAAGGAGGAGGGGAGCACGGTTATGGGGTTGAAAGAGAAATACCTGAGGAGGAAGAAGAAGGAGAGGGATATGAGGGATAAAGCAGTGAGTTTTACGAAAGATGGGGACTTTGTAGGTGACAAGTGATCAGAATACGATAAGCTTGTGGCGCGGACCTTCATGTTCAGAGAACTGGGAAGAGAGGCGCCGCGGGCGGCGGTGAAATATCAACTGTGGCTTTGATTCTTGGTCTGACGTGTTTGGTTTTAGAGGAAGTGAGGCTGTGCCACATATTTTGTAGGAGAAGAAGGATTGAGAGATTGAATTGAAGAAGATACTAAAAAAAAATGTGTTATTGTTGATTCAGCGTCCATGAGCATTGGGACCAGCGAGATGGAATGGTCAGTCGTCGGCGGTTGTCGGGTTCCGACGAATGTTTGGATTCATGGAAGAATCCGTTTCAGTGTCACCATCCATTCCAATCTAAGGGCCAGAGCTTCCAGTATGCATAACAAAAATGTCTATTTTGTTCCCAAGACTGGTGTACTATAAACTGGCTCTTTCTTTGTCCAATATGGTGTTTTGCCTCTTGTTTTTCTTTTTCCCCCTAAATTCTCGTCTGAGATCTTGTCCTTACGGCATCCCTATATCTAATTCACTGATGATTCTATGCACAAATACGCACTATAATGTGCATAGGAGCTACTGAACTGCTTGCACATCATGACATTATTAATGCTTATCAGACTGATCTCTTTAACTTGTTTGTAATATTGCAGAGAAGTAGAGTTTAAGCATTTCAAATATGTTGCAACCATTTTAAGTTGTAAAAATTACCTGGTAATATAATTGTGAAGAGTGTAAAGTTTCATGATGGATTGGCAGATAGGTTTGTGGCTTCCTTTCGGCTGAGGATGAGTGAGTGAAAAATTCTGCTTATTAATTGGGCTAATATCTTTAATCATTATTTTTATTGATCTGTAATTAGTAATGACTTGTTAGTTTAGCTCTAACAATCTGCTCCTGATCATCTAGTAATTAGTAATGACAAATAGATATCAGTACTCCGTGGGCAAATTATATCGTGCACGGGCACAATGCATTGTGCGCCCTAAGATTTTATGTATATTATGTAAGAGTTTATGTATATTATGTTAATAGTTTATGTGTATTATGTATTATATTAGATTATGTGTATTATGTTAGGAGTTTATGTATATTCTGTTAAACAATTATGTACATACGAAACATGGGATTTTTTAGTGCACAATGCATTGTGTGTCCTGGTGCATGATATAACAATTGTACTCCATGTTGCATCGTTATATCGTGCACCATGTCGCACAATGTATTGTGCGTCCCGCCCTACCCAAAACGACGTCATTTCGGTGCATTGTCCAAAAAAAAAAATTCTCTATTTCGAATGCACATAAACTCATAAAAGAATACACATAATCTAACATAATACATAATACACATAAACTCTTAACATAATAGACATAAACTCATAACATAATACACATCAACTCTTGACAGAATACACATAAACTTTTAACATAATATACATAAACTCTTAACTGAATACATATAAACTCATAACATAATACACAGAAACTTTTAACTGAATACACATAATGGAGTTTGATCCGTTTGAACGGACGGAGTGTCATACGTCAATCCCCGTCAATAGCAATTAAAACAGCGATGTTTTGTGCCTGAGCACACATATGCACGATATAAATTGCCCCGTGTTATTGAGTAAAGTTATCCAAAAAAAAATGGGCCTATTTGTCTATAGTTTTGGGCTCATGCCCGACTCATATAGATTTGGGTTTGATTGTTTTTGAAGATCCTCCAAATTCCAAATAACACTTGGGATCCTGTAAGGATAGCTTGGCCCATGCTATATAGTTAGCGCAAATTATGCCATGGAATCGTGTTCACCGAGAATGGTGAACACAAGATAAAACGACATTGTTTTTAGAAAAAAAAAAAAAATCGCGGATGTGGAGTTAACGGCGCACGTTTGATCAAATTATGAATTTTCTGTTATGCGATTATGAATTTTCTGTTATGAGATTATGAATTTTCATAAAATTCATAATCTCATAACAGAAAATTCATAATCTTATAACAGCAAATTCATAATCTCATGGTTCCAAAGTGAATGTGTAGGCATGGTTTCAAAGTGAATGTGCAGGCATGGATTCATAATTTATGAATGTCCGTGATTTCGGACGGGAATATGTAGGCATGGTTCCAAAGTGAATGTGCAGGCATGAATTCATAATTTATGAATGTCCGAAATTATGAATGTAATGAAAATTCATAATCGCATAACAGAAAATTCATAATCTCATAACTGAAAATTCATAATCTCATAACTGAAAATTCATAATCTCATAACTGAAAATTTATAATCTCATAACAGAAAATTCATAATCTCATGGTTCCAAAGTGAATGTGTAGGCATGGTTCCAAAGTGAATGTGCAGGCATGGATTCATAATTTATGAATGTCCGTGATTTCGGACGGGAATATGTAGGCATGGTTCCAAAGTGAATGTGCAGGCATGAATTCATAATTTATGAATGTCCGAAATCTTTGTTCACCTCAAATTAAAGTGAAACCGCAAAATGTGAAAATAAAGAAGAAAAGTCACACAATTAATTAACAAAAAAAAAAAAAAAGATAACCGTGTACTAACACTGTTGGAGGCATAACGTCTGATATAGTTAGTTAGTTGGTAGTTTCTACAGTATCTACACTATAGGAATAAGGAAATTACCGGATTTGTACATCTATAGTATTCGCATTATTCATTCATTAATATTATACGAATAAATCTGAGACACATATATCTTCTCATTGAGTCATTGTAGTTCATAGCCATGGCGGGCGTTGCAACGGTCGGCCTGTCCTCGGCATCGGCAAGAGGCGCATGTTTGCTCACTGCCCCGCGCATGTTAGCTGCCGCCGCTCCTTCACCTATGGTGTTGGTACGGCGTGATTCAGAGCTCAGTTTTTATTCTATCCAACGCAGGTGCGGTCCGCCGTCGAGGAAGCTCACGATTCGGGCCGCTAGAACTGAGTCAAAAGGTGTCTCTCTTGGATTCAGAGCTCCACATTTCGAGGTTATTTCTTAATCTTAATTTATTCGCGGAGTAGATATAAGCGCAAAATATAATACTTCGTCGGCACATAAACCTTTCATTTTCCTCCCCGTTGGTGATTTAGCTCATGGATTGATGATTCAGCTTTCTGAACCGTTAACCGGGAGAGTGTGGAATCTAGAAGACTTTGAGCCATATCCTGCTTTGCTGGTAATGTTGTTCTATTTTCGTATGACAACTGTTGCATCAAAGGGTCCTATTATGCTACTCCATTTTGTAGTCAATGTTCATGTGTTAATTTGGAGAACGAATCATAGATGAGCATTACTTGCTTGATTATTTGGAGTTGTATTAATTTGGATCAGGATGCTGTCAATTGTGAAATTTAATTATGATTAGTTTATTGCAAGAGAACTTAAAGTTTCCAATAACAAAAAGGCAATATGGTGGGGGAGAAAGAATACTTAGTAAGTCATCAATTGATAAAATGATAGGTATGCATAATTGCATATAGAAGATTTCTAGGTGTTAAGTCATAGGAACCTTGCTTCCTTAGAGCGCAAGAAGTCAGCCTTATTTACTTTCAGCCCATGAAGATGTTTGATCTCATTCTTTTGTGATAAGTAAATGAAGATTACTTAGCAAATAATAAAGGAAAATGTCAAAAAATGGAAGGCTGTTTTTTTTTTTTTTTTTTTTTTTTGGGTACACACTGTATATATTATTTAAGGCTGCATACCTTCTGGGGATTGTGATATCCCTCTGGTACAAAAAATTAAAAAGAATTATGTAATAATATTGGAGGGAAGATCAGGGGATGTTTAGGAGTAGTAGGTTGTCTATGGGGAGGGACTTTCTTTTCATTTCTACACTTAACACACTCTTTTCCTTCTATTTGTGAATGGGGAGGGACAAATTTTAGGTATCTAGTGATGTACTATATGCCTTCAAGCTGTGTTTCAAGAAGATTTGTGTTGAACCATTTAGAATGATCATTGAGATGTTGCTCATGTTATCCAGGTTGGAGGTGGTTCTTTTCTTTATTTTTATCTTTATAAATTTAGTACATCTGAGGGGATTTCATTGTTATTTTTTTAGGGATGGGGTGGTGTTCTTGAAAAAAATGAAAATTCATGCTTTCAATACCCACCCAGAACAAAAAAGTACTCTTGTCATTTTTTGTTGATTTGTTTAGTTGTCAAATTGTCATGTACAAAAACCTTATCACCTAAGCAGTATAGGATCAGCCTGAACTGGAATTGATAGCCGCTTATGCAATGGTTTCGAACAAGAAATTGACTTGGTGATACATCAAATAACATGAAGGGATTGGGAGGATATTAAGTGGGGTTGGGTAGGTGAACTTTGTTAAGATATATAAGTATTGTAACAATGAATGTGGGGTTGAGAGAGCTGATGACTAGTAATTTTCATCATTTGTTTTTCCATTGTTTTTTTGTTCTTCATTTAGTATCAGACTATCAGCTAAATGAATGTGAAGTATAGCTGGAATGTTAATGAGCAATTCCTACCAGCCATTAATTACCCCATACAATATTAACAGTACTTTTATTCCACTGGCCTGCTCCAATACCTACCATACATACAATAATGTACATAGGAACTACTGAACTGCTCATCATGACATCATTAGTGCTTATCATACTGATCTCTTTAGTCATGTTGCTTAAGGGGTTTAAACTTGTTTGTAATATTGCTGAAAAGTACAGTTTAAGCATTTCAAATATACTGCAACCACGTTAAGTTGTAAAATTTACCTTGTAATATAATTGTGAAGAGTGTAAAGTTTCACGATACATTGGCAGATAGGTCTGTGGCTTCCCTTTCGGCTTAGGATGAGTGAAAATTTCTGCTTATTAATTGGGCTAATATCTTTAATCATTATTATTATTGGTCTGTAATTAGTAATGACTTGTTACCTTAGTAGCTCTAACAATCTGCTCCTGCAGGTTATGTTCATTTGCAATCATTGTCCATTTGTCAAACACCTGAAGAAAGATATTGTAAAACTTTCCAATTTCTATATGAAGGTATGCAGATAGCCTGCCCTTCTATTAATCTTTCTGCTTCACACCTTACTCAAACTGCGTTTTTCTTTTTGACCCAAAGCCATAAAAACACTAAAATATCAACTATTTCTTACTTTTGCTGCAGAAGGACCTTGCTGTTGTTGCTATATCATCAAACTCTGCAGCTACTCATCCTCAGGTGCAGATGACGCTATAGCTTCAGATATCGGTTGTGGTTACCCATTGTGCAATTTATTATCAATTTTCTATTCTTAACAGGATGGACCAGAATTCATGGCAGAAGAAGCTAAACAGTTCAATTATCCTTTCCCATATCTCTATGATGAGGTACCTTTTTTGCCTGTAATAATTAAATTCACAAATGCGTAGTAATAAATCATGTATGTTTCGAGTATTTATAAATTCTTTGTTTTAGCTCTTCTATATGGCCTTCATTTTATGGTCATTGGTGTTTAACTTTTATTTCATTGTTTGTTACATATCTAGCTTTTCAATGTTAATTTTTAATTAATTATTTTTTTAAAGAGGCCTCTGATGGCATGTGATTTATGGAGATAACTTCTTTATGGCCTTTGCATGCCATTCTCCTTTAAATGATTCGATGGAGTTAGGACACCTCGCAGTTGAAAAAGCAATATGGTTTCTCTCTCTGGATTTCTTATATTGGTGGTGGGTTGGAGTAGAGGAGCAAAAGGAATGACAACTTTTTATGACAAATGTCTTGCTTTCAGTTGTGTGTGTGTGATAGGATTATTTTTATAGCCTCTTTATGGTGTGAATTTTTCATTTAGGAATCCCTTTATTCTTTTTGTACCCTTCCAAGATTTTTTTCCCCTTTCATCTAAGTTTTATTTTTATTGTCAAAACTTAGAGTTCCACTGCTATGTTAAGCAAGCTAGGACAGAGGGTGGCATAGGGAAAATGCTTTGGTTGCTGTTAGATTCTGGTTATGCTTTGTTATTTCGTTGAGATGACAGTATAATATTAAAGAAATCAAGTTTCCTGTTTTGCTTGGTATAATGAGCAAGAAGGTCAATTCCTAATTGTCATGTATGATAAAGATATTGTGTTGCCAATTGGAAATTTCACGTTCCACTGCATGAGACAAGTAAAGAATTTTATCTCCATTTTTATCTACCAACAACTTCACTTCAAATTTGTGTTTGTAAACCCTTATGAAGAGATAAGGTCTTCTCACTAGTCATGTGCTTGGATAGAAAAATGCATGACACATCTTTTTACCAAATTCATACAAGCTCATTCAACTTGGTATATTCTTTTTCAGTCACAAGATGTTGCAAGAGATTTTGGAGCTGTTTGCACACCGGAGTTTTTCCTATTCAAAAAGGTAGCACATAACTTCAAATTATGTTCCAGAATTTTTGGGCACAATGTCTTGTACTAATTTCTCATTGAATATTTAGTTTCATCATCCTCTGGCATGTATTCTTGAGCGCATTAGTTTTGTTGACTTTTGAAGCATGCTCATTCTTTTCTAGATGTTGCAAAACTTTCATTTGTGACAGGATGGACGAAGGCCCTTTGAACTAGTTTATCATGGTCAATTTGATGATTCAAGACCAAGTAATAATGTCCCAGTTACTGGAAGGTGGATTACACAATCATATTTTTAATTAGATTAATGCTGTAATTTCTCTCAATACTTTTGACATTTTCAAATTTACAAAATCTAAATGGGTTTTTATGCTACATCATATAGGGACTTGAGCCTAGCAATAGATTGTGTACTCAGTGGCCAACCAGTTTCATCTGCTCAAAAACCTAGGTATTTGCTACTTTCGTTTTTCATATTATTTTTGAACTAGTCTTTGTACCCGTAATTAGAGTTGGTGATGTAAAACTGTGTGTATTTTTTTACTAGTGTTGGATGCAGCATAAAATGGCATCCTGGAGAAAAGCCGTAATTAGGAATTCTCATCTTGGCTCTCTCTGTTGTTGCCTGCACTGAGTTAAAGGTGCACCAGAATTACTGTAGCAGAGCTGATCTTTTGGAGGATTCAGACATTTTGTAATTTTGATGTAATGGCTCTTCTGTAATTTCATGTGTTTGACCTGTGAACTCTATGTTCACACCTATTGGAAGTTATTCTACTCATGTAGAGCTCCCTCTTGCTATTGTAATGGTGACTTCTATTTAACAAGAATGTGTATATGTACATGTAAGTGAGAATAGATTAAAAATAATTTGTTATGATTACAGGAGTATATATGCCCTCTCATGATTAGCTTATGGGCCATTAACAAGTACCAATGTTTCCTTCACCCCATACACCCTTGCATCTTCGGTTGTTCTGATATGATGTTCTTGAGCACTGAGGCATTATTGCCATTAATTTATATCCTTTTAATTGTACTGAAATGTGTATTTTATGTACTTCCACATTATCTGTCTTTTTGCACTTTCCATGTGTCAGTTTTACATTTCCTGTTTATATTCATAGAACCTCTAAAGCAAAACTTAAAGTTAGTGTCAATATTTTAATATGTATAATTCAGGCAATAGGCCCATAGTACAAAGCAGAATATCTTCTGTATTACATGGAACTTGGAGAATCTAGTTAATAATGCTTGGAAATGGTTTTAGGCTTTCTTGTTTATATATGCTGTAATATGCATGTGGTGGCTACATTCTTATCCATTGTGGTTTGTTAGGTCACTGTATGCTACCAGTGGGCCTGCGAGGTAAGCTGATCACATGGCTAAGAGCAATGTATCTTTCAAGAGAACATGGTGAGTTCATATATCCTTTCTATTTTTTGTGAAAGTGATGTGTGAGAATTGGTAGGGAATGATGGTCCATTTACTTACCCATCATTATATGTTCCATTTGGTTCCGGCCAACCAAGATCTTGTCATCTTTGTGCCTTTCTATCTTTCCAGCTCTCCCCACACCCACAACACATGGGATTGATAGCTACTTCTCTCTTTGCAGACACTTTGTTGGAAGATTGCTTTTGCTTAGTTGCTTCTACTAGTCAGGCTCTCTTGTTGCTCTACCCTCTAATTTTCAACCATTTTATTGTCTTTATGCATATTTATACTGCTAATATAATCAACTGTGATGCATTAAGACAATGTTTCTTGCATTTTGATGAAAGCTAATTAAATTGAAGAAGGAAAGTTTTATTACATGCATGCAACTTTGATAGCTGACAGGTTTGCGAAATGGAAAATGTGATTAAGGTACAGAAGTGGGACCAAATGAAGCATGAGCCTTAGATTGTATGATGAAAGTTGAATGACAAGCATAAAATTTCTATCATTTTATTGCATGCTTGAAAAGAATCAACTGACTGAGAACTACATTGAATATGAAGTGAGACTTATTGGAACTGGGAGGGTGATTTTATGAGGGGTTCAGATGACCTAGAGAAACTCGAACACTGAACTGAAGTTTCTGAGTTTGATGCCATTGCTTTTCTGTGATGATTAGGCTTCTCAAAATCATCATTTTCATGCCTTATTTCTGTAAGCATTGCTGCTACATCCTTCATTGTTGGCCTTTCATTTGGGCATGGGTTTACGCACAGAAGAGAAACCCCAAGAACTTGAAGCATTTCTTGAGTTTGGGTTCCAGATGTTGAGAGTAATTGTTGATCAAGAATTGTTGTGAAGTCTCTGTGTTTTACTCGCAGTTCCTGGTTCAACCAAGTTACAATGTGGGCACCATCTGGGATCCGGGGATCAGTTGGTTCCATCCCTGTTAGGACCTCTAAAAGCACTATGCCAAAGCTATAAACATCACTCTTCTCTGTTATCCTCAGACTATATCCACATTCTGCAATGAGGGACCGGATATCGTTAGGGTACTATCATATCTAGCATTCAGTAATTCATATTGAGATAATTCTTCTGGGAATTCAAATGTACCTTAAAATTCATTCAATAAATCAATACTAAAAACTAAAACTTAACATGCATGAATTGCTAGGTGGCTTAGGTTTTACATCCTGTTTTTTGAGACATCCTGAATCCTAAATTCTCCAATTATAACTACATGTATTTAACAGATTGAAGCCAGTGTTCATACCTGGAGCCATGTATCCATAAGAGCCTGCCACAACAGTGGTATCTCTTGAAGAATCTGAAGAATTTACATGCTTTGCTAGTCCGAAATCTGCAAGGACAGCTTCAAAGTGTGAGCCAACCAAGATGTTGTTGGCTTTGATGTCCCGATGAGTGATGGGAGGAATACAGGCATGGTGGAGATACTCTAAACCCTGAGCTGCTCCCAGTATGATCTTATACCTAGCATCCCAATCCAAGAATATCCTCTTCTCGTGGAGAAGTCCTGCTAAACTCCCATTACTGATGTAGTCAAACAATAGCAGTCTGGTTTTCCCGTTGTTACAGCATCCAAGAAGCCTTACTATGTTTTTATGCCTTATTGATCCCAGTACTTTAACTTCTGCAGAAAACAAGTCCCTCTGTGAAATCTCAGTGCTCTTCTTTGGCCATAATTTTTTCACTGCAATTACCTGCCGCATTGGAATCTCAACACGATAGACGACTCCTGAGCAGCCCTTTCCAACGATGTTGGAATCAGAGAGACCTGTTACAACATCATTCACAGAAAAGGTCAGCTTTTGGAATGGGACAAAATCCCAGTGTAGGCCATTTTCTTCATCATTTTTCCTACATGTGGCACCGTGAGCTCTGATGAGAAGCATTATTGTGGCTGTCAAGATGATCATAAACATGAAAATGCTAAGTACAATAAGAATGGTTAGGTTTCTGATTGATTTCATTCTATGCTGGTTTTGACTAACATGGCAGGTATTTCTGTTAATGCAGAGTTCTTGATTTCCAAGAAAAGCACTACTAGGGAGACCCTGGAAGAATTTGGTGTTTGGAATTACACCGGAGAAGTTATTGCAAGAGACATTCAAAGAAACAAGGTTGTTGAGGTTGCTGATAGCATTCAGGCTTCCTGTCAGCATGTTATGAGATATATCCATGTTTGCTAGCTTGGATAAATTAGAAAAGCTTTCTGGGATTGGCCCTGTCAGAAAATTCCTACTTAAGTTTAACATGATATCTAGTCCTTGCAGTTCACCAATCTGTCCTGGGATTTGACCATTGAGTTTGTTGCTGCTCAAATCCAACAACTGCAAACCTTTACAGAGGCCAAGCGTTTTGGGGATCAAACCGGTGACACTGTTCCCATTCAGCATAAGCTTGTTCAATGATGTGAGCTTCCCTATATCTTCTGGGATGGTACCCGATATCCTGTTCATGGAAAGATCTAGGACATTGAGCATGGCAAGGGAAACAAAAGAAACTGGTATTATCCCTTCAATCATGTTGCTATGCAGATCAACCATTTCTAGTTGTGTGCAGTTTCCAATATCCGGAGGTATAGCTCCTGTGAGGTGATTATCTGACAGCTCGAGGAAGCTCAGACTTGGTAGCAATGCAATTCCTGAGGGAATTGGACCATCTAATCTGTTTGATCCCAACCGTAATCGGGCTAAGCTTATGCAGTTGCCAAGATTAGGCGGGAGTCCACCAGAAAGTTCATTTGATATCAGAAGCAGCTTGGTCAAGTTTCTGAGGTTGAACAAGGCTTCTGGAACTGGCCCAGTGAGAAAGTTGTGGGAAAGATCCAATGATTGGAGCTTCTGGCAGTGAGCTAGCTCAGTTGGTATGCTTCCAGTAAGCTGATTTTGCCATGCGAAAAATAGAGAGAGCTCTTTGAGTTTCCCAATGGTCGGTGGAATCTCCCCAGAGAAGTTGTTGTTGTCCAACTCGAGTTGCTTTAAACCGGATAAGTTGCCAATATAGGAAGGAATACTACCAGAAAAGCTGTTGTCCGACAAAAGCAGCTCCTCCAGTTCACTGAAATTTTCAAAAGATGGCGGAAGTGGACCAGTCAGGAAATTCAGAGAGAAATCAATAACTCTCAAACCTGAACAGTTTCCAAAACTTCTTGGAATTGGGCCCCGCAAATTATTCTGCCACAAAAACACCTTTTTCAGGTTCTTGAGGAGGCCAATTTCACTGGGAATTTCTCCTGAAATTTGATTTTCATAGACAAACAACTCTTCTAAAGAAGAACAGTTTCCAATCTCCGGAGGAATCTCACCAGTGAGATTGGCTGTGTAAATTGCAAGAGTCTTGAGATTCTTCAGTTCTCCTATAGTATGTGGAATCTGCCCTGAAATCCCAGTGTCTGCAGCTCCAAAAATGGCCAGCATTTTGCAGTTTGATATCTGCATTGGGATTTCTCCAACAATTCCCAAATTCCCTCCAGCCCGGAATATTTCTAGATTAGTCAACTGCCCAATCTCAGCAGGAATCATCCCAGAAAGCAAGTTATCAAAGAGCTCAAGCTGCTGCAACTTTGAGCAGTTCCCAATTTCCTTTGGAATTTCACCATGAATGAGGTTGGAGCTGAGTGACAGCTGCTGCAGTTGTGATAATCTCCCAATCTTTGGCGGAATACTTCCCGTTAGAGCATTGAAACTAAGGTCTAGTGTGATCAGGGATGACAAGTTTCCGATGGAAGGTGGAATTTCTCCGGTGAGGTTATCATTTGAGAGGACTAGCACTTTGAGGAACCCGAAGGAGAGGATTTGAGTAGGAAACTTTGTAGGGAGATTGATAGAAGCTATCTTGATTTCTGAAACGAAACCAGTGGTGGTGCATGTGATGAACTCCCACTTGCAAGGATCCGAATGAGCCGGATTCCATGAAGAGAAGTGGCCGGCAGAAGAAGAAGAGTTGAAGGCAGAAAGCCATGACAGTAAAGAGTGACCTTCCTGGTTCAAAGCCAAGATTGCAGGGAGAAACAAGAGGAATATGAAGACTGTTTTGGCAGAAGACATGATGATGATGAGGTATAAATGTCCTAATCAGCTTCTTCTTCCTTCCAAGTGCAGTCATTAAAGTTCCCCAGCAATGATTTCTGCATCACATACAGTTTTCCAGAATCACTAAAAAACCAAGAAACTGAGTTCTAATTAAAACCCCAAATAATGTTTTTTTTTTTTCTCTTTAAACTAAGGATTTGATATTTGACAGTGTAGGACCGGATAAGTGAATGAATGTGAGTAATGTAGAGTGATGGATAGGAAAATTATTGTTAAGAATGTACAAACATACCTTTGTTGTTGTGTATATATTGAATGGATAGTGTATGGGGTCGAGTTTTGGATGTTTTGTGGCATACTTTTATTAATACAATGTTTCTTTCACTGTTGCTTGTCCTCAAGGACATACCTTTAGCGTGTGCATCTTCTCTTTTTCACATGACAAAAAACACTCCACACTCCAATTATTCTATTGCAAATCTGCAACATTATACTGTCTCAAATTTCACTAAATTTTATTTTATTTTTATATAAATAATAAATAATGTGGAGATTGAACCCACGAAAACTTACAAAAAATCTCCATTGTTGAAGTTGTCCAAGAAGTATGATTTCAATTGATTAACTTGTACTTCGTAATAAATTCAGTTAATTTATTATTAGTCACTCAATTTGAAGGGTTATAAACTTGTGATGCACTGTCACAAGACAAAAATGATGACACAATAATATTTGATGCTAAAAATTGCCCCTTCTATGTTTTCTCACACATATACATAAAGACTTTAATACATTTTTAATGTTTGTCGTGTCTAAATAATAAATGAATAAGGTTCAAATTGGCCACTGAACGTAACCTGAAAATGCAATTAGGCCACTGAACGAAAAAAGATGCAATTAGACCACTGAACACCCAAAAACGTGCAATTAGGCCACTGAACACTCCAAATGTATGCAATTTCACTGGATAGCAGGTTACCATCAATTTTAGCAGGTTACCTGCTTACGTGGCGGCTGAGTTGGCATTTTTAATAATTTTTAAATAATTTTTAATAACTTTTAATAATAATTTTTTTATAAAAAAATTGAAAAAAATAAATAAATAAATTTTTAAAAAATAAAATTTGTTTTAAATAATTTTTTTTAAAACTTTATTATTAAACTTTATAAAAAATTATTTAAAAATTATTAAAAATGCCAACTCAACTGCCACGTAAGCATGTAACTTGCTAAAATTGATG